TAGTCGAAAGTTCAAATGTCAAATCGTTTTCATTTTTTAAACACATCACACACAACACAACTCTAAATTTCAATTTTAAAGTTGAAATGACTTTTGGAACTGTGTGTATTTGACATATCACTCTGAACTTAAGACTGGCTTTCAAGATAGACGGCTGATGATGTCATCGCGATGCGATGGGCGGGGGCGATCTTGTCAGTGGCGATAGAGTTTTGTGTGTCAGATTGTGTTTTTACTGCTGGTAACCAACCTCCTACAACTACGTGCTAGTGCTAGGCAGCTAAAGGAAGCTTCTTTTAGAGAGTGTTTCTTGCAATTGTGGATTATTATAATATACTAACTGTCTTGCCAGACTTACCTTGCAATATCATGTAAAAAAATTTCCTTCAATCAGATATTTTAATTCTTTTTTCTTATTTTTATTGTTTCTACACAAAACAACGACAAATTACACCCAACCTCACGAGAAAGAAATAAATGTAGGCCATACAAATATTTCGGCCACGGAGGCAGCACAACAACTGTAACATTTCTAAGTTACAGTAATAATATAATTCTTTTTTCTTTATTTTTTGTAGAGGAAGAAAAGCTGTATGTAAGTATGTTTTCGATTATTATTATTATTCTGGGAGAAACAATTGGTACTATGCGTGGTCCCACCCCGGACACTCCAAACAACGGTCGAAAGTTATTTACCTACTACTAGTATATACAGCAAGGCGCTATCTGCACACGCTCAAATGTGTGGGTGAAGTGGCAGGGTTACCCATCACTTGCTCGTACTATATTACGTTACGTGGTCAGAGCACCGACATCGCGAAAATTATAACGCGAATCTGTTATCTAAAATTTTGTTAATAGAATACTAAAAATTTCGCATGTTTATTAGTTATTTATATCAATATAATATTATATATTTCATTAATTCACTAACTAGAATAATCTTGGAAATGTATTTAAAAATATATTATTAAAAGCACTTAAAGTGTAAAATTTTGGACAGGTACTTTTAAACAAGGTAACCGAGTCGTTTGAAATTGCGTGTCCAAATTTATCAATATCTAGCTAATAATGAGGCATATTGACTTCACTACATAACATTTATCAATTGAAAATTCGAGAACCCTTGTCTACTAGCTCACGAAGTAATGGCGTCTCATTACATTGATATAATATATCAGTATTATATATTACTCTGCACTAAATAAATGAAGAAAACAATAACTGAATGAGTGTCAGACATAAGTTTTTTTACTTACTTCGTTTCATCTTCCGGAAAACGAAAGAAACTGCTCTCTTTATCCCGTTTAGAAGATGATAAACAGCTGTACACAACACAATTCACGACCATTATAAATAGTAACGTACATTGATGTTATATATTAACGTACAAGTTTCGTACTGAATAAATGGAAATTATATTCAAATATCAAAGCCGTCTTATCGCGAAAATTTCTCCTTGACAGCCTTGTTATCGTTCAGTCAATGTGACTGGCTAATATGCGGGGCGTGGTGCGGTATCTAAAACTAGGGAGGGGCGGAGAGTGTCCATTCTTTTTACTTTTTTGTTCTCTGGCGTGGTGTTGACGCGTAGTTGTCAGCATCTCACAAGTGACGCCCTATCCGCATGATTACGTGACAGAGTACTAAAAAAACCGACCACAAAAGTACGTTGTATTACATATAATTACCAAGTTTTATTAAAATCGGTTAGCGGAAAGTGCGCAAACCCAGATTCATTTCCTAGTTCGTCACTATACGGGACTTGACACAGGAGATAATAAAAATCGGTTCTCACTACTCAAAGTATATTGAGATAGAAGAACGCCTAGAATTGGAGAAAAGCAAAGTCAACCATTAAAATAATTGCTCCTTATAATAAAATTTAGGCGCTATTTATAAAAATGAATCTTCATGCGTGGTTGTTCACGCACCCTTAGAAGTCGATGATTTTATTCAAAATTAAATGGAACCATATAGAGGTACCCTCATTCCGACAAAAAAAGAATCATGAATCGGTTCCCAAATACCGGAGTTATTGCGTAATATATATACAAAAAAACATACAGTCAAATTGAGATCTCCTTTTTTTGAAGTCGGTTAAAAATTAATTGCTCTTTATTTGACCATGGCCTTAAAAATGTATTAAAAAAAATGTATGGTCTTAAAAAACTATATTATAATATTTTGCGCCTATGTAATTATGAACTATATAATTTAACGGAAGTCTGACAAACCTTGATTCAAGGAAATAGTTTCTAGTTTTTTTATGATACCAAGTGACAGGAAGAACACGACGTGCGCCTGGTGTTAAGCGACACGTCTGTCCATAGCAGTAGCCGTGCCACTCAGAGACTTAAATCTGCTGCCACACACTGCCACTGCGCCTATCACCCTGAGACGTACATAAGTTGACAAATCCCATGTGCCTGTAATTTTACCAGCCCTTACCCATCAAAACCAAACACAGTAATACATACATTACTGCTTGGCGACAGAAATAGGTAAGGTGGCCGTACTTCCCTGGATGATTTTTTTCACAAGGAGCTCTACCGCTACGATTCGTGTGCGAGTTCGTGTCTACAATTTAATATTTAAAATCAAACTCTGTTCCCATGGACCGCAGTTCTAGGGGCTGTCCTCGTTGTTTGGTTGATATTAAAGTGATTCGGTTTGCTCACAAACTTCTAAGGTCTGGTAAGCTGAATGGTTGAGAGATCAAATGACTTATATCATATAAATGATGCTTTCCTGTCCCTCCTTTTTCAGTTGGAATTACCGCAAAACATGAAAAATAATATTTTTTTGGAAAGTGGAAATCTCTAAATCAGGGTTTCTTGTTCATTCTTAAAAAACCCCTAGGGTTTCTTGTTCATTCTTCTCAGGGGAATCTGCCATACGAATGAGTGGTAGAGTTTAACCATTGTGACGATTTCAAGCGTAGTAATGCTTACCTATGAAATAAAGATTATTTTGAATTAAAATTTGAATTTGAATAATGCTGTATGCATTTTGAATGTTGATTTTGGGTTCCTTTTATATGCTATAGTTAATGTTGCCTTAACTTAAATAGTGTGTTTTTTAAAATAACTTTTTGCTAATTTTCCACTTTTCGAGACACAATTTTGGTGATTTTGGTGATTTATCTGTGTTCACCAAAACTGTATCTTATCATTAGAAAGTAAGTAGTTTTTTCTATCATAATAAGACTGTTGTTGTCTACAAATCAATAACGTTAGAAAACAAATTAAAGTTAATTTAATTTATAAATAAAAAAGTTTTAAAATTTATAATGACGCATAATAACGACTCTTTTTTTATACAAAATGTAAGTTCGCATTTGACTTTCATCTCATGTGGTGGACAGTGACGATGAGGTCGACGATGGAGCATACGCACCTAAATATTGCCTATACACTCTCGTCTTGAAAAGGCCCAAGTTATGGCACTCAGGGAAAAAGTCTGCAGGCAGGGGATTCCATTCCATAGCAGTTTGCCATATATATGTGGAAGCGTAACGCTTCATGCGAATCTTTGGCATATCCGCAACATAGGGGTGGAACCCAAGCCTACGTCGTCGAAGGGGAAGGCGGAATTAAATCGTGTAATTCCATCGCATAATTTATAAGTATATCCTGTTAAATATTCATAAACAGGCAAGTTTACGGCGGTGTTCAAGACTATGCAGCTTCGCATCTACTAATTTCGTGTTACTGGAAGCCTCTTAGCACGCTTGTCGATTGAATCCAAGGTGACCAATTGGTATGTAGGAGAGCCATCCCATAGGTGGGAGCAGTACTTCGTACACGAACGGGCTTGTGCTTGGTACAGTTGACGCAACTGTCCCGGTGCGAAGTAACGCCTTACTCTGGAAAGGATGCCAATCTTCCTGGATGCATTTTTGACCAAGGATTCTGTGTATCTGCCGAAGTTCAAATTGGAGGACAGGTCCATCCTAAGTAGCTAGAGACAGCCGGCTTTACTCTAGTTCCTTTGTGGAAAATAGACACCCCAGTATTTTGATAAGATTAGCATCACCCCAACCACAGACCTTAAGTGTCAAATCCAAACGACTAACCATGAAGTCTCGACAAGACTAGATGTCCTCTCCACTGACCGTTGCATTAGTCAAGTACCTACCTGCAACTGTGCTGTCGTCAGCATATGCAAAGGCACTTGGAATTAATATATATCACTGATATGCAGCAGAAAGAGAGTGGCAGACAGAACGGAACCCTGAGGAACTCTGGCATCAACCGCCCGATGTTCGAAAGAGTAGTGCTAAGTAGTTGTAGTTCTAAGACCACTCGAATCGAAAGTTTCCTCAAGAAATCTGAGATCCAATTGTAAAGGTCAACTGTCAACGGTCAAGGAAACTTGCTTAAAAGGCTTGCGTGTCAGACGCTGCCAAAGGCTTTAGAAATGTCCAAAGACACTGCAAGTGCTTCGCTTTGCTTTTCTATAACCTCGCTCCATATGTGACAGGCATACACAAGATCCCCAGTAGATCGCCCCCGCCGGAATCCGTTTTGGCAATCACTAAGGAGGTCATTGTCTTCAAGGCGCGACAGGAGACGGTTGTTGAGTACAAGTTCCATTTCATTCCAGTCTTGCATAGAATGGAAGTGACTGAGATAAGTCTATAGTTGACAGGGTCAGCTCTGCTTCCTTTTATCGGCACAGATTGCACGTTTGTAAGCTTCCACGACCTGGGCACTACATCAGTCTCTAGTGAGAGGCGATATAGTCGTGTGAGAACAGGAGATACCTCAGGCGCACAATTACGTAGGGCTATTGCTGGAATTCCATCTGGCCCAAGTCTAGACTCCGCAGAGATCTAAGTACCCTTTTTGGCGTATGCGTACTGGTGCCATAGTGCAGTCAGCCGGGGGTAAGGTAGGTGGTAGGTTCCCTGCGCCATCCAGACGCGAACTCCGCAAAGAGTGAGGCAAAAAGATTCGCCTTCCCTTACGCAGTATGGGTCAGCGAGCCGTCCGGCTTCAGCAGGGGTGGTTAGTTTCGGCCGCTTTGGCTAGGGACCAAAAGGAGTTGCTACCTGCTGTATAAGAGGCAAGCTTGGCTCCTATGCAGCGTATGTGGTGACCATTGGGTACGTCAGAGTATGGTGTGTAACACTTCATACACAAACGCAAAACTTCGACTACAGCATCAGTGCAGCTCGACGAGTCTCCTGAAGAAAAGCCAGCCTTCCAGGGATTTTGTCTCAATTTGCCAACCTGTATCACCACACCCGTCTCATACTACTAGGATTCCGATCGGGTGGGAAGTACACGGATACAGTTTTCACTAGACAATGGTCGGAAGTACCCAGTGAGGCATCCTTATCATAGATTATCGCTCTGGATCAGTTGTTAGCAGAAGGTCCAAGCAATTAGCTGTATGAGACTCAACATCTAATATACTGATCTACATGGCTATTAAATATTTTTTGTGTTTTTTCTCCAATGTATTAATTTTGGTCACGATGTCCAAATTTGGTGATCAAACAAAATTTTATTTTCATATTTTGAAGGGCAGGTAAGATATTCTTTTTGGAATGAATTTTTAATATAATACCAACTCATAATATTTACTTAAAACACAAAACTAAAAATTGTCACCAAATTTAGGTAAAAAACCGTACCTGTAGAAAATGCCTGATTTATGAGATTGTACTTCTATGTAATCCCGTTACTGTATTTTGGAATTTTTCGAAGTCACAATTATCAAGTCGCAGTCATTTTTGTCCCATGCAGAAGGAAAATCCCCTTATGTCCAATTAACCGGACTCATTCAAAGAAAAAATCCCGCAAATTCCATAACGGGGCAACATTCACGGGAATAATAGGCTTAGACGTCTACACGTCTCTGACTTGTTGTGCGTGTTTCTGCATGTATAATTGTCCTTCTTATAGTTCGACCATAAGCCTCGTAACAACACGTTTATAAATTAATTACTAATATATACCGAGTATACGTTCTCGCCTAGCCCCACTCCTCCACTAAACATTACCTTTTTATAACCCGGATGTAGTCAACCATGACATTTGGGCCTATCGAAGACATCTAACTCGATCTGACAGACCTCTCGCAGTGACCAATCAAAACAAATTTACTGGGCCGTTTGAGCGGAAACATTGTAAAACAAAAATTGGTAACATACTGGTTTGATAAGATTAAGCTTTTTATGATACCATTATATACAGCTCTCTGATAGATATAGTTTTTATTCCTCGTAAAATATATAAATCTGAAAATAACCAAGTTACCTATCTCTGTTTTTAGTACTGGCATAAGACTTTGTTATGGCGAAGTAATGACGTGTGTTGACAAGAGCACCATGTGTAACCCTCACGCATCCCTTATTGTCAGAGATCAATGTGTTACGGTCGTCGCATAGACCAATTTTGATCGCGGCATTGTGCCAACACTCTTCGAGTGCTATTAATCACAATTTGAATATATTGACTAGCTATCATTATGTGTACATCTGTGGTAGCGCCGTTTCACACGGGCCGGCCGCCAAAATGTTTATATACAGGTTGTTTATTATACAAAAGGCAGCAATTAAATATTCACTGATAGTTGAAGTAATTATAGGCAGCGTCAGGCGGAGTTAGTTGCGAGAAGGTAATGAATTAGCCAGATATAAAAAGCTACGTTTTTTCTTCTAACATCTTGAAATTATTGTCTTGAAAATTCGTTGGACTGTACTTTTGATTGTCAATTGATTTATATCAACGAGATACCAGAAGAATCTTCTATTTAACGCCTAAACGAGATGAACACGACATTTTGTAGCTGATAAAATAATGATGTAATTACTGTTATAAAGTATATATCTACACAAGTTTATGAAGCCTTTCAGCGTGGCGAACAACCTGTATGTGTTGGTACGCGACGAGCGGCGAACAATAAAACATAGTGATTAATTTATCGACGCGGGCGCAGGCTAACGAGCGACTATTCGGGGTCAGCGGTACGGGCGGCCCACCGGCAAGCTTTGTTGTTAAGAGAGAAAAATTGGGCACCCGCTCTTATTGATTTCAACGAGGAAACTTTTTGCAGTAATTCACTAAGATCTCCTTTTAGGATAGTAACTAGATTCTAACAATGATTATAATATAAAACAGAACAGACAGTTCCAAATACTTAATACAACTTTGGTTAATTTTGCGACCAATTCTAATTGGAGTGAAATATTATTGGTTTTTAATAATTATTATAACAAACATTGCAACACTAAGAAAAAATGTATTAGATCCGGCTATATCATGGTAGTAACATCGTGACATTCAATAAACTTAAAAATTTATTTTTAAATTCGTGAAATTGTACAAAAGGTTTCAAAATCCATTACTTGTGTTGTTTGGGACCCCGTTATGGCAATTCGTACTAAGGCAGGTGTGAAGCCTTTGGGTAGATATATCAATGGGTGAATTTATGTATATCTAATTGTACAAGCAAGTTAAAGAATAAATTAAACTTTACTCACCATCGAATGTCCAAGATACTCGGCGGCGTTATCCGATATGTATAGCAGTTTGCCGTTTTGGGTCATCATCATCAGGAATCCGTTGAGTGCCTGCCAATCCCAGAAACAGTTCAGGCAACGTATTATGGTCGTCAGTTCCTATGTATGGTTTCCAATGATATTATCTGACTTGGTTGCAGTGACTGACTTGTGGTAAGATTGAGATAAAAGTGTATTGTCTTAGCTTCACAAAATATTTTCCACAACTAAGTAATCCAAGTCAAACACACAAAAACACGTTCCTGTATATAAATAATGCTTTGTATAATGCAAGGTAATACCTATATTTATTATGTATGAGTTTATGTTACATTCTGCTCTCGATTCTATTATTTGCCAGGGCCGCGATACATCTGAGTTATGTACCGAATAAATTAAATCGCCACACAATCGCCTGCAATCGCACCGCACAGACACAATCGCGTGTTTTGTCACATAAACTACGTGGATACGTTCTCTTATTATTTTCTAAAGGGAAATTAGCCTTAGCTGTTGCTTTTGATATATACAGGACTTTAGTTCTACCTATAAAGAATTGAAATGGAATTGAATTTTTGGCTTTAATTATTACTGATATAAAATGTGTAATCTATTTGAAAATAAACAATACATTTCTACAAAGTATGAGTATTCAAAAGAAGATACGTATTATATATATATATATACATACGGATTTCTTGCCATAGTTCTCGATCAAGTCACATTATATTCGAAGATTGTGTAAGTACCGTAAAGGTAAAAAGCGCAATTTCTATTATCAATATTTCAACTCTTTGACTGATTACATTTAAAAAAATTACCATACATACCCGATCCATTTAAAAATATTAAGCAGCAAACAAATAAAAGACGATAGTAATAAATACTAATATGAAAAATAGCTCCCAACTTATGATTAAAATCCCCAGAATCAAAGTTAATAAGTGGTTGCCACTGGCCACACCCATTAAATATTGAGCTTATGCAGTGGGAATTAGTGTTTTAGGTTAATATTACTTTCGTCCTTTTCTGGAATATAGAATAAAGCCATATGAAAGAAAAGAAAAGGATAAGTTATTTGGTAGGCACTCGGTAGTAAACCGTGGGAAACACAGTATGAGTGCATGTAATTATTTAGAAGTAGTTTGAAGTAAATATCGTGAGGGAACTTGCATGTCTGAGAATATATACAACAGCACGTGAGCTCCTTAGCATTGAGCCAGAGTAACGGACTACGACCTAGTTCGCTCTTTACATGTAGAGAATACCCTTGCCCGGGAGTATGACGCAGCTTATAAAACATACGATGTACCTTAGAAAATCCAAAGTTAGGCGCTGTAGAAGGTTGTTGGCTGATGTCAAAGCGTTTGAAAACTGAAACAAACAAAAATAAACATTTAATTTCATTAAATTCAATGCATATTTTATATTAATCGTTTACTCGACCAAAATGTTAGTATTCACGTTCACGTGACATGAACAGACAACCTGACCGGACATAAATTTAACACGTGACGATGATAGACTACTCGGCAGTGCACTGACCGAATAGCAATGTGCAATACCAGCCTGCTTTTTTCGTTTGATAGTCTAGTTTTTAGAAAGAAAGATCTCTTTGAATCTAGACATCAACGCTGTGTCATTGACGAAACTCTCCTGACTACAGTATCCTCTCACTGCGGCCAAGACCCCTTTAGCCGTAAGCTTATCTGATCAGTCTTGTGAGCCTGTGAGACTGGCGGTGAGAGATTCCACTCCTTGCACCCCTTATCCTTCCTAACTTCTGTCTGTTACCTTAGGTCGCATGGTAACAGGCTTTCACTACTATCTATTTAGGTGTATACAGTAGAGTATAATAATAATAACTAGGGAAACCCTGTATTGCAGGTGCCATGGGTACACACATAGACCACAACATATAACCCACGAGATAAATAAATGTAGGCCATACAAATATTTCTCCCGGCTGGGGAATCGAACCCGGGACCTCTGCGTGGCAGTCCAGCATAGTAACCGTTCGGCCACGGAGGCAGTTGTGTAGCTAGGGCTAGGCTAGGTAGGAACGTAGGGTTGTTTGTGACAGGTTACAGTTTTCCATTCCCATTTCATGTATAGCCAGCTAGCTTAAATTACACATACAAGACGATACTCAACAATAACACTCATATCACACCCAACAAATACGACACAAAGACAGAAATGAAAACAAATTAGTTGGCACTTCGGAACAGATGATTTTTCATTAAATCTTGGGAGTAGTATCTTTAAAAAAAGGGTGTTTTTCGCCAGAACTGTTCATTTTATTAAATATTATTTGCCGACTTGTGAATATGGTTATTCATTAACTTTCTCTGGACGTCATACAAAAACAGAAAATGCCCAACACTGTCTATAAGTATTATAGAGATTGCAATTCTATTAGTGTCCTTACTTAAATTGATCATATCTATTGATATAAATAAATTTTAATAACGATTGTGTATGGTAATGAGTATTACGATCTTATATTGTAAAGGCTACCAAAAATTTGCATTGTAAAGTTCTATAGTTAATGCTCACGCAATACCTGTTAGTCTGATAAACGTACGATAATGGACGCTTTCGAATCGACATAGATTTAAGATTTTTCAAAATGTACTTGTTGCACATACTTTGATTTCAAGGATGAACCCTTAAAATAATATTCTGTTACTTATCGATCGATACAGAGCGTACCGATTGATTAACAATCCTAATACGTAACAATAAGATATAGTAATTTTAGCTGGAGATTACACACCCACATACATATGTACGTCATAAAACAGTTAATACCAACATAATGTGGCTCGGTGCAATCTGATGACAAGAAATCGTCGCGTTATGATACTATGTGAAATGCCGACTGTTAGAGGAATTGTGCACTGAACGAAACCGAATTCTCATTGGCATTGATCACGACCGTAACATCAAATATCTGTATCATTGATAACTGTATAAACTCCATAAATAGAGAAATGTGGAGTGAAGAAAAGCAGAGCTTTGAGCAATCTCGTGAGTTCTTTTATATCTTTTTTCTATGAGTTTTTTTATATAAAAATAAGTGTGAAAAAAATAATCGCCTCGCCTTGAGAAAGCCCAGGTTATAGCGCTCAGGGAATAAGTCTGCAGGCAGGGAATTCCACTCCTTGGCCGTTCACTATAAATGTGGAAGCGAAACTCTTCGTACGAATCCTTGGAATATCCACAACACAGAGGTGAAAACCCAGCCTACGTCTAGTCCTCCGAAGATGGATTTTTGTGAAGGATATTTTTTTTTCTTGCAGTTGGCCGTTGATAGCCTTGACTGCGCCACCGGAAGAGAGGGCGCGCGAGCTGAAGGCTCATAACCCCTAAAATAAAGTAAAAACTAAACTTAAAACTAACCTCGGCTCAGGCCGCTACTGCGGACTTCCGCCATAAGGGCGTGCTATAGGAGATAATTTACCAGTGTACGGGCTGAAATGAGGGGCTCTATGACCTCGCCGGCGAGGACGGTTGGTGCGTGTGGAGATGTCCTAATATGCGATCTGGTTGGCCTTCAAAGTGGCAAGAGTGATAGGGTCATCAGAGTCGTTAAGGGCTTTCCTTGGCCGACGGGTCCGATGATGGAATGGGGAGTGTCTGATTGTATGAAATCATAAAAGGAAAGATAGCTAGAATGTGATACAAGGAAAGACCGAGTATAAGCCCGTAAACCAGATAAAAGTAGGGAGACTGTGCATTCCTAAATTTAGCTTAGGAGATTACATAGAAAAAAGAAGCACGAAGAACGCTACTCTGGCAGGAACAACGTTATTAAAGAAATAATAACGAAAGATTAAAGTCACTACAACGTTTATCTAAAATGTGTTAATGAGAGATAAACCCATAATTATTGTTCCATATTTTATCAATACATAATAAGACCGAGCATTTTAATTTGAAATTATTTTTGACAAAATTTAGATTTAGAATTGAGACTATGTAAAAACTGTCTAAAATCTTTACACAAATTGAGATTGAGACCACCACAGTAGACTTGATAGAGCTACCAATGCACAAGCGTCATAACGACAAATGATAGGCAAAATACGAACAATCGATAATTTGGGCCGGCCTACTCCGCGGCGGGTGATACACATCTCTTTATTGCGTCTCTATGTAGAGTATTGTGTTCTTGCACAATGTACCGATATCTCTCATAACTGCTTGTATGCTGATGTGTACGACTAAGACGATGTGTTTCACATTTTATTACTTGGTTTTGTTTTACATTTGTGTTGTAATTTCTGTGAGGTAATTTCTATTAACTAGTAAAGCTACTTTCGTTGGAAATAATTTGTAATTAAATGTCTTTTACATGTTAAAAGGACTTGTCTGAGATATTTATGAACTTGTATTTTGATTAGCGCAGTAAATGAAAATATTTCTAAAATTAGCATTTCATGATTCAGTGAACAACAATTTTTGTAATATCCAAAGAGAAGAATGAGTACCATATATAACCGCTCACGCGATTCATGCGTCTCTGGAAGCATACCACACCTAGAGGTGCCGGTGATGATACCGATTTATCGGATATCGAAGTGTTTAAGGTAAAAAAACTAATACTAATTGCTATTTCGGTAACTACTCTAGCAAACCATAAAGTTTTTAATGCCTGTGTCTGTCATTTAAAAAAATAAACAACTTCAAAAATACGTCACGACAATCGTGTGTGTTATTGTTTGGTGATGTCGGTGTTTATTTATTGAAAACATACCGTAAGTAGCGTTTGTTAAGTTTACCCTGAATATAAATGCTTATAAACTATACTTTAAGGAGTAATTTCATGGTAAACATTAGAACCACTCAAACGGAATATTATCATATTTACCCAAGTACACCAAAAATTTCATTAGTGCTTTTTAAGTGCAGGATTTGCGGTGTATTGCTGCATTTTATTTGAGATGTTTTTGTTGTAGTACGGAGGGTATTTATTTAGCAATGCAGAATATTAATTTTTATTTTTAAAAACTTGTATTTAAACTGAATCCTTTTCTAATTTGCGAAACCAAATAGCCGCCATTTATCGCTAGGATGAGCGCATCGTGTGAGCGGATAAAGTTCCATAGGGATTACTATTGTAAGATACCAATAAGGCGCTACTTTCACTATTCTATTTATTAAGCCACGAGTTGTTATTTAGCAATCCATATATCAGGTGCGTAGGCAGTTAGTTTTATGAATTACATCATTAAATTTATTTCTAATCTCTAATAAATCATTCAGTTTTTAATCGCATTTCTAGACTACTATGAAAACGAATCACAGCCCACGGCGAAATAGTATTAAAAATCGATGTCATTGCATGCACTTAGGGGACAAACATCGATATAATTAATCGCTTCTACCGATCGGTACTTTCTCGACCGGCGGCCTAGGAAACAACGATAAACAATAACCGAGAGCGGGCGTCCGATTATGTCGATAAGATATCTATAGAATAATTCCCGTTCTCTAATGGGCCCACCATACAGTGTAAGGGATTTACACTTTCTAAACTATCTCCAAAGGGGTTTGGTGGAGGATGGATTAGAATATTGATAAGTTGTGGCAGCAGACAAACTTCTGTAGGCAAGAAAGACTGGTAGCTGAAATGATAAAGGAATTGAGGCCGTATATATTACAAGTAGATGAGCGTTATGAACTGGCACTCCTAGGATTCTGAACGAAATTAAAGATTAATTAAATATTTTAAATTTACTTACATCAGAGATATAATTAATTTTGAATATTTAACATCATTATTGCTTTATAAATTTTTGTTTCACATGAAAAATTGGAGCACACTTTTGTACAAAACTATCTAATTAATTGAAAGCAATAGAGAAAAAAATAAAATATATAATTAGTGCCAACCGTGACCACGGGACCTGTAAAGGGCCCGAAATGTCGGTTTGTTTGAAAAAACAAATAAACGCGATTTAAATCCGGAAAAACAGTTTTATTTCCTATGTGTAACAATCGAGAAAACCTAAGAACTCGATATATAATTATTTTTCTAAAGAGGTTGTTCCTTGACAAACGCAGTGGAGAGATAGGCATCGGTCGCGGAGTGAGTCTGCGTTTAGTCACTGATGGTATTTCTTGCAGCTATTACCTTTAATATTGCATTCTGGCCTGATAACGTGCTGTCTATGGAATTTAGCTTACAGGTTACGATTGCGATTGCACTTTCCCCTATAAGAGTCAAATATAATATGAAAAAGCTTATGTTTTCATAATACGAGATATAGAAGAGACTGACATGACAAAATAACTTTACTAGATATGACATGATAACATCACCCGGGACTATTTCTCTATCTCTGACATTGCAACATTTGCTCGAT